GTCAAATTAAGCTAGAACGTGAGTAATATATCAATTCACGTACCGGTGGGAGCGAGGGGCTGTTCAGGGGTGACATTATAGGCGAGAAACACCTAGGTGAACTGGGAGTCGAGGCTTATACAAATGACGTGGCTTGTTCTAATAATGACGTGGTATATGCCGACAGGTGGTGGTATTAGGGTTGTGGGAAGAGTAATATTTTATCATATAAAGGATTACGAACGGCAGGCCAGGTAGTGACTCTATAACTTATTACAGCTTTATTTGATCGAAGTGAGGAAATATAAAAACTGAGATCAGGAGAAACAAGTGACCCGGTGGTCTAGATGACATATTGCCGTCATACGTTGATTTAGTCATAGTAGCCTAGCGCAGAAAATGCTGTTGGGATCCACGTTTATATACCGAAGAGTCCCCGGTATACCTTATGCTTTTTACAGCCTTCAGCTACTAAAAGGACATGAGAAGGCCAGATCAGAGGAGGAGTATTACGCTTATGCTACTTATTTAGAGCGAGACAATGAAAGTCTAGATAGAGTATTGATCGAAAGCTCTCCTATCATATTTCATGATCACCCTCATTTATTTGAGAACTGGAGAGTCCTAGATAGATCAACGCATTGAGCCATGTAGGTTATTACACAGAAGGTTCAGGTTCATGTAGCCACAACTTGGTGCGTTCTTGTTAGACAGGTGACTAGGGCAACCAAGAGCCCCAATTAAAGAATATCACGCCAAATACATTCCTCTAGCGCGCGGTCGTACTCATCGCCAAATCCCAAGGCGAGCAGTTCATGGGCCAATATCCGCATGCGCTCTTCCAGGGCCCACAGAAGGTTTCCGGCAAGGCAGTCATTGGGGTAGGTCAGGACGATCCTAGTCCAGGAGATGCTCATGATGTGGCATCCTTCCTCTAAGATTTGAAGACGAATGCGTGCTGGTGCCTCTGCGCGCAATCGGATCTCGGTCAAGAGTTCGAGGCACTCATCCCGTATGATTAGAATGGGTTGATTTGTCACCACTGCCGTCTTGTTAAACTAACCTGGCATGGGCACCTACTGATCCCATACATTCTCCTAAGTTGCCTCTGCAATCTAGGCATCCCGGTTCTCTTCAAATTGGAGATCCAACATTTCCTCCGAAAGTATTTCCATCCTCATTTCCATCGAATGTAGGATAGTAGTCGTAGTCACGTTTTGAGGCGATCCCTGACCGATGATAGCTTGTGCAGCTTGCATGATCGTACATGCTTCATCCCAAATTTGGGATCGGGACAATACCCGTTCTTCCGCTCGAGCGCGGATGCGAGTCAACAACTCCCGGTTGTTATTTTCCATCGTGCCATTGAGCTTGTTGGTCACTACTTTATTTGTTGTCAGCTTTATGTTGAAAACGTGACGAGGAATGGGGACGGGGTGTGAGGGGTCTTTGTTAGAGCGGTCAATCTTACCTGTAGTGGCTATCGCTTGAAGGATGTGATGTTGGGGTTTAACCTATAAAATAGACAGTCCTCGTAAGCTCCTTGCTATGGGTAGATATTTTGGGGTGATTTCACACCCTTCTATGAATCAGCATCTGTATGCTATTTAGGAGCGATCCGACATTAGGCTTCGAGCTCTTGCTTCAGTTGGATGACTCGCCTGCATAGTCATACACAGCTAGCTAGACTTCATCACGTTAGTTGAGCTCTGATTGATAGTTGAATGAGGATTATGAATTCCTTTGAGACAACTCGCTCTCATGGCCAAGATGAGAAGTAAGAATGAACTGAATATCACTCACCACTGTGTATATTCAGGCAGATGAAGATACTGTGATGTAAATTCAAATATATAACAGAAGTCTTGAATATAGCTGTAGATTAAATAATGGGAAATAATTCAACCTGCATCAATAGTTTCACTGATAGAAGATAGAAATATGTATACGAACGAAATTATGGGCGCCTGAGGCTCGCAGGCTGCCCTGAACTCTTTTAATGAAAACTCTCATGTTGTAATAGTAATTGTGCTTGCGATCGTTGGTGATTGCCCGGTCTGACTACCATACCCCACCGTCCTCCTTTCAACTCGGTCGGCGGATTTGATCATCATGCTACTCTTGTGCACATATACCACGTATTTGTTGTGCAAAAGCTTGATCGTAGCTACAGTCGTAGGTCGGGGTTATCACGTCCCATAGCAAGATCTACGTTCGCTACTATAATCCCTAAAGGAGATTGTCGATAGGGAACCGGTGGATATAGGCATGCATCACGCATAAAGGCTGTGACCATGATTCTAAGACAACATCCCTATACGATTATATGCAATCTTCCGCCCACTACGACTTACTTCCGTAAGTTTGGATGGACTTGAAGTGTATGGAAAAAATAGGATGTCTTGGTGAGGTTCAACTTGCAAAATGACATACTCGTCAGCTTATTGAATTTTCATAGATGTCGCTGATCACTGAAGAGGTTGTACCCCGGGTTTTTAGACGAGATATTTGGAAACGATAGAACTAGGTAGAAAATGAAGCGAAGGGGAAAATTGAAATCTTGATATTAATTGCTGCAAAGAAGATACCATTCTCACAAGCGAGGCGCGACTATCACGTAGAAAGGGAAGGAGCTGAGCAAAATTTATATCAGTGATAGGTAAGAATAAAACCACAACGATGTGACTAATAAGGCGTGCTAGATGTGAAGTAGAGCTACACTGGAATTCATTATACCTAACTTGACATTCCTACTAATAGAAGATAGAAACGAATCAATGATCAGCATATTCAGTATCTAAGGCTCCACCAGCTAATGCAAACGCTCCCGAGAGAGCTCCTCGTATCGCCGATAGATGATAGTTCGGCCCATGCTCGTGATGAGCTACTCCTCGTCAAATCCCAGGACGAGCAGTTCTTGGATCAAGATCCGCATCCGTTCTCTTCAAGGCCTCCAGAATATTACCAGCAGGGGAGTAATAAGGGTAGGCTAGGACAACGATAGTTTAGGTGGTGTTCATAATAGAAGAATACGCATTTTTTGTAGCAAATGCCATATTCTTTGCTCCAATTTGCACAGACGTTCGCCCCCAGAGCAGTCATGGGGGTAAGCCAAAGTGAGGATCGTTCCAGCTATCATCATAGTGAGCCACCCATCTTCAAGGGTCTCGCCCCAAACATACTGTTGTTCATCTAGTCAGACTTTTATCTGGGTGAGCAGCTCTAGCAGCTCATTGGTGAGGGTTTTGATCGGCTCGTTTGTCGCCACTTCCTGCTTGTTAGCTTCAAATTCGAACGGGGTTAGGGAGGGGGGATGTCGATTCTTACTGGTCTCAGTTTCTAAGACTTGATGTTTGAGCGATGGTTGTTGAATGAAACTTTCAGACAAAGCAATATATGTTAGCTGGTTGTTTTTGGAAGTTCTAGTGAGGATCCGCCTGTAAGAGAAGACTTTTCTGTTAGCTCATTGATTTGTTGCAGTTCATTCTTCTCAAAGCCATCGTACCTCACTGGCCTTTTAAGAAACGCGACAGCAGCAATGTACCAATTGAGGGGAGTGTAAGCAAAAAGGAAGAAGAGACTATCACCCAAGATCTTAAATAGTAACTGCCAAAAGTGGAAGTGCGCTTTTACAAGGAAGGTATAACTGTCACCTCAATAAATAAGGAACAAAGTCACAGTTGTCTGAATGGGAAGTAACAAGAAAATGAAATTCAACTACGACTATGAAGTCATGTGGTATCACGTCCTCATCTATGGAGGATCGCAGGACTTGAAGTATATAGATCTATACTACCCTCGGGAGTAGAGATATAGAGTCATATGATCTCGATTACCTGTAAGTTTGTACGCATAAGCGTTGACTATTGCTATCAACGCAATTGCTTGGGCTACACCAGCCTTGCTCTTTCTGTTTGGTGGTAAGACATTGCAATTACTTACACGTGAAAACGCGCTTACTCGTATGAATGGCATTATTAATTCTCCCAGTCAGTCTTCTTCTCTTCCTTTACCCTTCAAATCCCACACTTTGCATCTCGAGTTTGGATGCTATCACCAAGGTAAGCTTCCTCAGCACCATGCAAGAATTTGTGAGACCAAAGGCTGACTACCACTTGTCAAGTTACAGATCGAATCTCCACCCATTTCAGATCAAATCAGTCGATTTCTTCCCACTAAGAGTGAGGTATATCCCCATTTACGATCGCAACATAAAAGTAAAGCGAACAAGGAAAAGTGGACAATTCTCAGCCGATCCCGTGCTTTAACAATGAGCAACTGGAGCTGCTCACACAGCTACGAGTACGCGCGGATGATCGCGAATACGCCTACCAAAGCATCATGGAAGAGGGGCAGATCATAATAGGTATCACCGCTGGTCTGATAAACCTCAACGCGGGAGACAATTCCCGCTACTCTCACGTCATCCCCGGTATGCTCCACACTCTTGAGAATAGAATGCTAAGTCTCTTAGAAGAGCTGTGCGAGCTGCGCACTGAAGAGCAGACAGATGGATGAATTGAGCTCTGGCTTTTCGAGACTATTGGCTGAGAAAGGTATTCGACGAGCTAGTGCAGCGACCTCTTGAAGTCCTATCAATTTGACATTACTTTGTACCGAGATAATTTTCATAATACCCTTGTTAAAAATGACATTAAGCTATTCATTTTTGTTTACCATCTCTCTACATACGTTCCATCACTTTCACCCACTTTGAACATACAAATGAGTTGAGTCTCACTTTGGGGGAAGTAATAATATTGTCTCAAAGAATAGATCATGTTTAATTCCAGAAACATGGAATTACACGCCATACAGTATGGATGGTATTGATACCCGAGGACATATACATCTCACAATTGGGTAGAAAAGCAAATATGGAGAATCTCTTAAGGCGTATTGAGAGAGAGGTAGTCTTCCCTGCGCAATAGGAGTAACTCTGGAAGGAAATAAGAGTTTCCGCGACCGCCCAAAGCTCTTCAGGCTGCTTTAAACCCCCGTATTTAGATACTTCGTCATCATCAATTTAACTCGAAGTCCCTAGTATCGTCCCAGATTGCTGAAGCAATTCGCTCGTCGTGTTGCTCCTCCATATACTGCTCCATGGCGAGGAGGATGTTCCCAATGCGGGTATGACGAGGATGTGGGCGGCCCAAATTATCCTGCACCATGTGCATGATGAAAGTTACCTCGAGTAGAATATCCCAGCGAGCATTCGATCTTGCGAGGGCGCGGGTGCGTAACCGCGTGAGCATTTCAAGATGCTCGTCAACAATGGTTGGTACCCGCTGCGAGCAATTTTTTCGCCGATACGCAAGTACTGCGAAGACTTTACATTATTGGCCAAAACCTCCCAAGGATGAGCAGAAACGGGCAAGGGGGCAGTTTGTAGAGAAAATATATAATGGATAGAGGTAACAGCCCACTGCGCAGCTGGAACTTCAGTTCACTTAATTAGTCAAAACGATGGAACTTATTTCAACGGAAGCATGTCCACGTTGCTGTGCGTGATCCATCGATGATTGGAGCCCATGTAACCTGCAGCCCCATAACGTACACCTTGAGATTTATTCATTGGTTTGAAATGTAACTTGCGATCGGACCCCATTCACAGCAATTGGCTTTACCAGCTTGTTGGTATCAAGTTCCAGTCTTTGGGCCACGTTGTTGTTAATGAATGCCACCACGCACCTTGAATCTAAGCAAGCAGTGATACATTGTTCTCGGGATTCTGAAGCTGCGGTCATAGCCGCATACCACCATGCATGCTTTGGCTCGCATTGAATGTCTCGGGTCGAAGCCAGCGTAGCATGGCCATTTATTTACCCCCCATATCTTCCCAGATTGCTTCCACAATCCAGTTATCACGGACCTATTCCAATTTTAGTTTCGCCATCTCCTCCACCAGGACTTCCTTCGGCTGTTCTAGTGCGTTTAGCATGCTTGTCGAGGCCAGGTTCTGTGCCATCGGCTGGCCTATGATGGCCTGGGCCATTTCTATTATCATGTATGCCTTATCCCAGATTTGGCATCGGGACAACTCTCGCTCTTCAGCGCGGACACGGATCCTAGTTAACATTTCGAGATGATCATCGTTAATTGTGGTAATTGGGCTGTTATTGGCCACTTTCCTTTTGTCAGCTTTGTGTTGAAAACGCAACGACGAAGACGGTTTCAAGGGGAAGACTTGTTTCTTACTCTTAACGGTAGTAGATGGGTAGGGAAATTAAAGACGAGAGGATAAGAGAGTTTGGTAGCTCTGTTTTGTTTCGTCGGTGTTGTTAACACTCGCAAGGATTAATCAGTTGCGGGTTTAGGTGAAGAGGATCAAAAACACGGAAATGTGGGAGAAGAAAAGAAGAGGAAGAGAAAGGCAATGGGGCAGGACTTTAAATAGCAATTGCTACGATAAATCGCGTTTTCACCAGGAAGGAGCCCCTGTCACGTAGTAGCAATATACACGACATTCTAGTTATTTTGATACCTTCAAAGCTCCCTGTATATACCGATAGAACTTATATAAAGTAAGAAAATATTTACAACAGAATGAATTTCAACTGAGAGCTGATGAAAGGGGATATTAATGAAAAGTCAAAGCAATGTGAAATTTGTCCATGTTTATATAGGACGTTGAGAGCTCTGCAAGTAACATTCAAAAATGCATCAAACGCACGGGTTAAGCCCGAGTGATGACATAGATCTTTCCGGCAGCTGGAGAGCTAATGGCAAACACATTCCGCTCAGATGGAGAGTCACTTTTAGAATTTAAATGTACAGGAGTGAGGAGCACTCTTGATAACTGAAGTTATCTATCCTACTGACCCCTCTCTGATTAGGGATATTGTGTTAAAAGGCTTTTGGTTGCCTATATGCTCCTTTTGGAATGAAATTCCTCTACACAGTGGTTCATTCAATTCATTTACCTTGTATGTCTCATTTGATTTCACCTTCACCCTTGCTAGCTCACTTCAAACTCATCGGGCTATCCGAGTTCCATTCTCTGTGCGACTTAGACGACCCGCAGATCTTCAAGCAGTCCTTTCATTGGTATTTGTAGGTTGTGAAGTTGGTCTACTGTAGCGCTCAAAAAGGGATAGCTGGTGAGGATGAAGACTTGGACAAAGTACGCGATACCCGCGGCCTCTTCAAATAGTTGGTTGCGAACGTAGTCTTCGAACCATCTGCGCACTCGCAGGCATGTTAGCAGGTCCAGCCGCGCGTTATCAGGGGCCTGAATCAACCGAAAATGGTCCAATTGTTTCTTGTCAGATATGGTATTGAAACGCAGTTGGAAGTGGAAGACCGAGGGGAATAGGTGCATCTCTTTGGTCCTCGGAGTGAGACAAGAGACGGAGTATGTGTTGGTACGTGTTGGAGGGTTGGAAATAGTGAAGCTGAATGATGCTTACTATTTATTCGTTAGCTCATTGGATTGGATAGATCTTGTATATAGCCGAAAGTGGTATACAATGGTTGCGACTGGTTTTTAAAGTTGGGAGTCGAGAGTGATAAATAGGAAACAATGCGGAAGGGAGAATGGAATGTTGGTTAAGAGAGGTAGGAAGCACAATTACCTCCAGGCTATATTAAACTTTCACTTTAACTAGAAGAATTCCCTTGAAAATTCCTTTATAGTTCACATTTGTTCGCCTCGGTATTTCATTCATTCCTGCATGCCGCAATTAGCTGAACTTATTTGTTTCGATTTTCCATTTTACCATAACTCTCGACCCACGAAACTTGGCTTCAAATGAGCTCTTCGAACTGGCATTCAATTGCCTCTGCCAATTTGAAGGTAACCAAATCTTCAAAGACTGTCTTAACCTGTGCCTCCGACTAGCGAAACAGAGGTATCGTAGGTTCCAGGTATGGGCAATCCAAGATCAAAATTTGAGCAGAGTAGGTAATTTTAGCCCCTATTGGAAGATTCCGAGGCCAGTGTTATGTCGCAAAGCAGGGTTTATGCTCAGTGCGGAGGCGGCTTGAGTTGCTCGTGATTAGGTATTGTGATGAAGCGAGTATCGGCCACCTTTTGCTTGTCGGACTTTTGATTGAACGGCGGAGCCGGAGAATCGAAGGAACAGGTGGATCTGGCTCTGTAGTCATTGAAGTGGTAAATGTCGCTGTGATGTAAAAGAACTCCTGGGATTTTTACCAGTGTGCACCAGCCGCGTGTTTCGGCGTAGATCCTACATAAAGGATAAAGGGATATACCGCTGGTGGATGTGCTTCTAGTCAGCAAGATGTGGGTTCGAAGGTGATGAAGGAAGGATAGAAACTTGAAAACCAAAATCTTACATAGAGATTACACTAGTCCAACTAGACAAAGCGCGCGACTGCTAGCGTGAGCAAATATCAAGACCGCGCAGTTGGGTAGTCTGACCAATAGCAACCAATAGCTAAAATCCACCGCTCCCATTATCCCATTCATTGGAGTTTAGGCGAAATATAGAATATATCTCAAATAATACGTATGAAGTGAGGTATACTTCAGAGTAATATAACTGTTTCCTCGAGCGCCGATGAAGGATATTGTCAACGAGAAATAAGAATAAAGGGAAATATCGTAATATCTGAGTAGGGGGTGGTAGGATATGTCTCCAAAGATGTCACTATGCATGGTGTAATGCGAATTTTATCTATCCAATGCACATGGGTACGACGCCTTAGTGACTATAAACCTTGACATGGTGTTCCAAAAAAGACTGAGAAGATTCAATTCTGTACATTGTAAAGTCCCAGAGGAAGCACAGTAACTAGCAGTACAGACATAATTGTACCAACTTGTGCCTTGGTCGGTGCAGACATCGGATTCGACCGATGTGGGCCTAGGCAGCGCGGAGCACTGCACGTTCAGCTGCCTCCTGGGCAACAAGGCTAGCTATCTGCTGTAGAAGGCTCTGCATCTCTTGTTCTAGCTCCCGGAGTTGTGCGTGAGAGCACTGGTATGGATACCCCCGAGCGAGCAAGCCCTCCACCATTTCCATAATATCACACGCCCGCTGGAACATTCTTGATCGATCGGACGATCTTGAGCGCCAAAATCGCACCAGTGTCAGCAGTTCAAGCTGATCATTGGTAAATGACACAATTGGACGATTGTCGGCCACTTTCCACATTTCAGCTTTGTACTTTAAAGGTAGGTAGAAGTTGGAGTGAAAGGGGTGTATCTCACTAGCGGATAAGCTTTGAAACCTGGATATGATTTTGCTGCACGCGTTTGAGACGATTAAGGATGGGGAACTTAAAGCCTAACCAGTCATGGTTAGCGCCTCGCATTATGATAGATCTTCCATATGGGCTCAAGTGGCATACCTTGCACTGATAGTCGTATGTGGCAATAGGATATGCAAGATGGGTGAATGAGGAGAGAGAGAGGATTAATAGTGGGAGGATCTTAAGTAGTAACACATCCAGGACTACGGGGAAAATCGCGTGAGGAAACCGCGACTGTCACCTTGAATAAACTGTAAGGCTCCCCGGATGGGAACCCTACAATATTCTAGTCATAGCAATGCCCCCACGATCCCTTAAACCTTAACTGAAATAAAGAACGAGAAGAAGTAAGTGAAAAGTGAGATATTGATGATATCTATGTTAGACATTTACTAATAATTCAAAGAAATACTATCAGTATTCCTTCAATCTCAAGCTCAACACAGTCTATGGGGATGAAAAGAATAAACGAGAGGGGTGTTTGGCAACGCACTTGGGAATTTCAGATGTGAATAATGGATATGCAGATACTATCGCTTATTTATCTTCATATGTCCTTATGGACCTTGTCGTTGCTAACTCGGAAGTTTGAGTAAGAGAATCGAGAGTTTAAGGTGGGCCAGGAGGAACGAAGGAAGACGAGAATTCAATTCACTCGGGGCTGAAAGAGCACACGCATTTTCAAGTGAAAACAACCGACAGATATTGCGTAGGGTATTGAAGTCTAAAGATCAACAGGGTCAGCTATAATTCGTACGAAAATGAGATTAGAAAGCAGTGGCAAAAGGCTGATTACTACAAGAGGAACATCAAGGTAGAGTTGATGCCGTTCTACGTAGTTGGAGGCCTCCAGAAAAGATTCAAAGACACAATGTTTGCTTGAAGTTGAATAACCCTACAGCCTAATGTATGTAAATATATCATCGTGTTGGATTTCTTTGCTAGTCGTACCAGAAGTGGCTCTACCACCTGCAAATTATTTGAATGTTTGGATTTGGCGCTTTTCTGCTTCTCATTAAGTTGGGGGTTGATATTTGGG